GCTCGCGGCGGGTGCGGAGTGGTTGGCGAATCTCTAGCGGACACGGGACGGCTCACCCAGCCAATCCATGCATGGGAAGAGCCCACCAGTCATAGGCCAAGAAAAATAACTATGTGGTGACAAAAAATTACTAGTAGTCAAACGATTGAACGGTCAAAAACAAAGTCAACGGTGATCCGAAGGCCACGGATGCGCCAATCCGGGGGAGCTCCGTGGAGGGCTAATTTTTTTTAAATAATACACTTTTTTTTATTAATTTTCAAAAATATTACGCCCTTTGTTTTATTTTTAAAAATAATACAGCGTCGGCTTACTACAAGCCGACAGGAGCCAGTCAGCCTACTGCTAGCCGATTAGGGTCCAGTCGGCCTACGGGAAGCCGATTGGGTCCAGTCGGCTTCCTGTAAGCTGATTAGTACTAATCGGCTAGCAGTTGGTTGACTGGTGCCTGGCCCATGCAACGTACATGTTTTACGTGTGATAGTACAATTTTTTCTGCTCTCTGCTAGTTCTGCCGCGCACACTGCACGGCTAATTTTTTTAAAATAATACACCTTTTTTTATTTTTCAGAAATAATACACTGTTTTTTTTATTTCTAAAAATAATACAGCGTCGGCTTACTGCAGGCAGGCAGGAGCCAATCGGCCTGCTGCTAGCCGACAGGAGGCTAGTCGGCCTCGGAGTAGCCCAGTCGGCTTCCTGTAAGCCGATCGGCTAGCAGTTGGGCGACTGGTGCATGGCACCGCCACATGCCACGCCTTGGCTAATTTTTTTGAAATAATACACCTTTTTTTTATTTTTTAGAAATAATACGCTGTTTTTTTATTTTTAAAAATAATACAGCGTCGGCTTACTGCAGGCTGACAGGAGCCAATCGGCCTGCTGCTAGCCGACAGGAGGCTAGTCGGCATCGGAGTAAGCCGACTCGGCTAGCAGTTGGCCGACTGGTGCATGCCACGCCTTGTCGAACCTTGCATGCGTGTGTAGTGTGTGTACGGAAGGAGAGCTAGCTAGCTCACCCGTACGTGGGTGGTGTGGAGGGATCGAGTGGGTATGAAACGTACGTACTGCGATATTATATATAGATAGATAGACATATGGTATGGTAGATGCCCATGACACACGTACGTACGTACGGTAATCAGGTAGGTAGCCTTTGCATGGCCAGGTTCGAGTCTTGGTCCGTTGGCTGTCGCCCGGAAATTAAAGTGGTCGTCGTCGTGGGACTATGGCAACATGCTAGCTGCGAGTCGTTGAAGCGCCGCGCAGCTCCGGCGGCACTCGTCTGCGCGCTGCACGACTAGGTATGTTGTACGTCTACGTCATCAACGGGCTCGTCGGCACGCGTCCGCATACGCCAGGCTGGTTCTGGAGGAGCGTTGGGCCGAATGCCCTGCGTGCAGTGTGCGCGGCAGAACTAGCAGAGAGCAGAAAAAAATGTACTATCACACGTAAAACATGTACATTGCATGGGCCATGCACCAGTCAGCCAACTGCTAGCCGATTAGTATTAATCAGCTTACAGGAAGCCGACTGGACCCAATCGGCTTCCCGTAGGCCGACTGGACCCTAATCGGCTAGCAGTAGGCTGACTGGCTCCTGTCGGCCTGTAGTAAGCTGACGCTGTAATATTTTTAAAAATAAAACAAAGGGCGTAATATTTTTGAAAATTAATAAAAAAAGTGTATTATTTAAAAAAAAATAGCCCGTGGAGGAGGGTCGACTAGCATCCTTATAGTTATAGGTTAGAATGAAGAAATCAAAATTAGTCATTAGTGCAAGATGATGCTTACTAGACACATGATGCACAAACAATATAACAGGCAAAAAAATATATGGAATTACTCCCGGGATGTTACAGAACCCTTCGGTGATGACTACGAGGGAGAGGCGTCACCGCACCATCATTGCTGCCGATCCCCATCAGAAGCAAACAAACACAATAACAAACACAAAGTACTGGATCGTGTGGGCGGAGTACCATGTGTACAAAGAACAACCAGCAAAACTGGAAAGAAAAACACCTGTTGATACTCCCTCCGTCCCATACTGTAAAATCGTGTCAAAAAACGTCTTGCATTATGGGACGGAGGGAGTAACATTTTGCATGCCAAGACTGGGCATAAAAAACACTTGTTTAGAACAACAAAACTATGTTTCACTCCAAAGAGAAGAAAAAAACAGGTGCTGCTCAATCAAAGTAAAGCCCAGCACAGGCCGATGAACATCCAAGATGACACTACCAGCGAATTCAAAGAGCTTTTAAATAGGATAATTTAGGAACTTGGCTGATGCTATACAACGAATCTCATCCAAATCGACTAATGTAGACTCAGTCCGCATGGACGCCAGAATTTGTGAGGTCGATATCGCCCATTCCTGTATCTTCCTCATCTTCACTGTCATCATCACCAGCAACCTCCGCGTTTTGCTCAACCAGGGTATCCAACTGGGCGTTCAATAGCTTATCTTCCCTCTCACTCACCTGTTTACAAAATGCAAATAATACAAAGCTTCATGAACCATGAGCTGGAACAGCTAATATAATTTTGAGAACATTCATATCGTAGATATATACGATATATCGAAGAGATGTAGAAGAATTATTAGACGCCACCGAAAACTTACAGCTCTAGGTGCTTCTTTCACTACCAACTTTCCCTTGTGTTTTTCAATCTCTGCTGTGCACGCTTTAACTGCATCAGTGAGAACTGAGATGCCTTGGTCCTATCCCAAGGAGAAACAAACAAAAGAAGATTAATTGTTATTTGTGGAGAGTTGAAACATCAAAACCCTAAACCATAATTCTGAGGTCTAAAAATTCATACAGCTGTAAGCCCAAAGCAGCTTACTGTACCATTTGAGTGCTTGTACAACAAGACAGACTAAGTACAGTTCATGCAAATAACCACTGTTACCTAATCAGTAACTTAGATCATTCTACAGACATGTTATTAAGAACACGCCAAAAAATTAGCATCCTTGGTCACAGAAGAGAATGATATTAGCATCAATCTCGGTGACTAGCCAATCAACCCCATTTCTAGATGACAATGAGAAACAGCAAACTACAGATTATGGACAACAAACTATCAAACATTGTATGCGGTGCAATAGCTGTTGACACATTGGAAGCAAGGTGAGCACTATAACAGCCTTCATGATAGTTAGGATATAAGATAATCCACCCAGCCAATAATGTACTCCCTCCGGTCCAAAATATCAGGTGCATTAATCTTTTTTAAAGTCAAACTTCTTTAACTTTGACCAAGTTTACAGAGAAAAATATCAATGTTTCAAAATCCAATCATTATCATAAGATTCATCGTGAAATATATTTTCATATTTTAGTTATTTAGCATCGTAAATGTTAATATATTTTCCTATAAACTTGGTCAAACATAGGAAAGTTGGACTTTTGGAAAAACTAATACACCTTATATTTGGGAACAGGGGGAGTAACTCGTAATCTTAAATCCTCTTGACACATCAGAAGCTTCTTTCTAAATAATGAAAGTTTGACCATCTAATCAATCAAGAGAAATAAAATGTGCTAAAGCGCAGTGCAATTGTTAAATCTTAAATTCTATGTCAAATTAGGAGCATCCTTCTAAATAAGAATCAGATAATTTAATCAATCAAGCAGGATACCTAGAGCCAAAGCCAACATCAATCATGGAAAGAGGCTGAAGAAGACACCAACCTTGTCGAGAGTTTGTGTAGTCAGAACATAAAGTGGAGGAGCAACCAGCTTAATCTTCACAGGACAATTAGTGTTCCCAGCAGCTTCAGCTTTCCTCATGGCTTGCTGCAATTTCAAATTTAGAATAACTGAATAAGCAACCCAAAGTGTTCAATCATATCCCAAGGCAGAAACAGGGTTAACTAGAACCTTAATATGGAGCACCCCATCAAATTGGAAACATTTCATCTCGACGTCAGCACGGATCTTGAGTGGCTGCGGTGTCATTCTCCTCCGTATATTCTGGACCAGGGTCTCCTTAATCTCAGGGGTGACAGCAGGCACCACCTTAGTCACCTGCCAGTAAATGTAAGTATCACTTCCATTTTCTGACAAAAACTCTAAATTTAATCATGTCGATGGTAAATATCAGAACACATTCCAGGGGTAAAGTATTCGCATCACTTGAAATATCAATCAACTGTTCGTTAGACCTTAGAACTAGACTCGACAAGACAAATGTAATATATTGGTACATTCCAACATTCAATGATTAGTTGCACTAGAAAGTTCATTTGGTCCATTTGACCTCAGATAAACTCGCAAGTACCAAACCTTTCTATGGTGCCCATTGAACAGAATGAGAACCTGACATCTAGTACACACGCACAAATTCACATGACATTATCATTTAAGCATGGCATAGTTATTAGTGAATGCATTTAATCAGGTCAAGACATGGTAGTGCATACATCAGGATTAGTACTAAACGAAAATCATGATAATTGGTGGGTAACCTCTTGGCAGTCAGGGCCAGTCTCCTTCTCCTCGTAGGTGAGCACATCGAGGATGGCGTCGGGGTCGGCGACTATGAGCTTGAAGGCCTCGAAGGCGTGGCCGTACTTGCGGTAGAGCGGCCAGCCGATGCGCTGGTAGATGGGCTCGAGGTCGATCTCGAGGGTCTCTGCAACGTGGCGCATGATGGAGTGCACGAGCTTGGACTTGTTGTACCTGTCCTCGCAGGACCGCGCCTCCTCCTCGGAGACCCGGCGCTTGGAGAGGTCGATGTATCCCTTGTCGCGGTCGACACGGAGCACGATGGCGGGCTCCTGGCGGCCGACCTTGATGAGCGAGGAGATGGAGCGGATGCGACGGCGGGAGAGCTCGGAGAAGAGGATCATGCCCTCGACGTTGTTGTACTCGAGGAGGGAGACGTAGGCGCCCATGTCGGCGATGTGCTTGACCTGGATCATCACCGCGGCGTCCACCTCCGGGAACCGCGGCTCGTACATCCGGCACTCGAGGTTCGGCATCCTCTCCGCCTACCGGGTGGGGAGCTTCGCCGGAGTTGGAGGGGGCCGCGGCGGATCTAGGGTTTGCTTGGGTTTTGGTCGGGGGGGAGGGGGTGGGGGCGGCAGTCAGAGAATGCTGCCTGTTGTACTCTCTTGGTGGATCGGATATCAAGTGAGCCGATCCGACATCTCGGGCCGGTCCAGTCTCCCCACTCTCCCCCACACGCGCCACGCAGGTATTGGAACCGGATAGCGTACTTTTGAGAATACGCCTGCGTGCTTGGTTAGCGTACTCCTGTGAATACGCCTGCGTGCTCGGGTAGCGGGGAACAGATCTTGTGCGCCTCACGCGAGCTCCGGGGAGTGGGAAGAGGCACGCACCAGTCCAGCACCGGATCCCCTTCCCTTACCGCCGCCTCTTTTCTTGGAGGGGAGGAAAAGAAAGCCAAGGGAAGGAGGACAAGTAGCGAGCCTTGAGGAACTTCTCGGCTCGGCTTCTTCTCCAATCCCGTTCATTGCCTTTCCGTTCATCCCCACGGGCCGCAGCTAGCTCCGCCGTCGCGCTACCGGGAGGGGGAGGGAGATCAGACTGTGAGATGGCTTCGCCGGAGCCATCGGCGGCGGCGGCCGGGGCGGGCGGCGATGCGGCCGGCCAGAGGGCTCCGGTGGAGCCGCTCCGGCTGCCAACGCCGGAGGAGATCAAGGGGCAGGAGATGATGAACAACTGCGCCGTCCGGAGCGTCCTCAGTGGTGTCATGGGTAACGTTACTCACCGCCTCCAACTCTAATCTCTTAATACTACGTACTATTCATTCAGTTACAGAGTATTGGGAGAAATCCATGTCTGTACTACTGGGGTGCATTATACAACTCTGTAATTGAATTATGCTAAAGTGCCGACTTAATATGTCTCCATGATCTTGTTCAAATGTCATGCAATCAGAGTTTCTGGATGGTGTGACATGTCACATGGGTGGTTGTTCATTCTTTAGATGGTTAGGTCTTCACCTGTTTGTCTGAATAGTTACAAATAAAACGATGCTGGTTCTGAAGACATGAACTTAATTTTATTTTGAGCAATTGCACGTACGAACTTAAATATGTTCATGTGTTGATTCGGTTGTACTCACTTGTAGAACCGTCTACTGTTAGTTTGTTACTCTGGCTGCTCAAAATCTTTGGTGGCAATAAAACAAAACTTCTTTTCTCCCGTTCGATGATCCTTCATGTGAAATGGCATGTCATAATGCATAATGGAGATGCCTTTGTTTCCAGTTCTTTATTTTTTGAGGGTCATGCCTTTGTTTCAAGTGAACTTGCCTTGGAGAGTTGGGGTCTTAAGTTTTTGTAGTGATTCTGCAAGTAAAGTTGGGGTCATGAAATCAACCCAATTAAATTCCAGTACTGAACACATATTACCTTTCAAAGACATTAAGGTTGAGAGTATTCAGAAAGGGGTTGGATAAAGTATCAAGTTGTCTGAAAGGGGTTTTCGTAGAGCATTAGAAAGGTTGCTGCTTAACAATGCACAATCGTTTTCAGTTGTAGCTACAAGCATTCTGTCATAGGCATACGATGTGATTTGCAGAAAATAGCAAGGTCGACGTTTATTGAAGGTTGATCTGACAGTGGTTCAAATTTTTTGTTAAATAGTCTGAAAATATTTCTGTACTGCATTAGAAAGGTTACTGTTTGGCGGTGCGCCTGCGCCTCTCTGAATCCATTTCATGTCAGTGCTGCAAGAAGTGTAATGCAATAGACATACATCGCGGACATCCTGATAATGACTTGGTGTTTGATCATGTCAACACTGATGTTGTGCCCTTTCCTATTCCTTATTTTCAACCAATCTTACCTTTGGAAGGTTTGCGTTACCTCTGCCTTGGATGTTTGCCATCTTTCC